TAGGAGGAAAAACAGAATGTGAAGTGCAAGAAATCCTGGAGTCTAGATGCAGAGACAAGGGGACCCAACATCTAATTCATTGGAAAGGCTATACAATTTTTGATCACTCCTGGGAGAACACACAAGATGTTCATGTCCCCAACTTAGTTTGCGTATGCAACTAGTTTAGTTTAGTGTGCAAAAACTTCAGAACTGATTTTGCTACTTCTGTGCCTATGTGAAACTATCAGTAAAGTTACATTCTTGGTAAAATAATGTCACAGGATTTCTTTTGCTGCATTTATCAATTTATCAAAGGGACGGTTGATATTACCAGCCTCTCTGGACCATTCTGAAGGGAAGCATGGCACTCACTCATGATGGGCCTTCCACCTCTGGCCTTCAATACCTGGATGCGGAAGGGATGGAATTTCTAACATTGTTTTTTGTGTTTCAGCAATCAATCACATCTTGGATCACCAGCACTTTCAGAAAAAGGGGATCCAGATAGCTTTGAAACCACTTCCCTTCCACTCTTACCAAGTTCCCATGAGAACTGGGACCAAGAACCAAGGCAGAAGGAAGAGATAAGCATTGAAGAGCCTAAGTAAGAAAAGAAGGGTCAGATTGGAGAGGAAGGTGATATAGGAGATGACCAGGCTGAGCTGAGGGAGAGGTCAAGCATGTCATCAGTTAGAGTCCCTTTGTACCCACAAGAGATATAAATCCAGCCCTCCTTCAATTCCATTGACTATTATCTACCACCAATTTGCCTTGACTGTGGTAGTTTAGATTCTTGTTCAGAGGTAGCATAAAATAAACTTGTATTTATTTTGGACCTAACTTTAGCTCCCAATTTCTTGCACTTGACACTGGTTCAAACAGTCATTACACCTCTACAGTTACAGAAATAAGTATTAAACATAAGTAAGTAATGCAACAAAGTTTGTTCAATTATCTGTACTGTATTCTATGAAAAGTTATAGCTAAATAACCAGAAAAAGAAAGCACAACTTGCTTAGGTTGATATCAAGTAACTTTCCTTCATCTGATTGTAGCCAATGGGCATGAATGTTTAGAGAGCTAATCAGGTATCATCTTGTTTTGGCAATGAGCTAATCAGATCACAGTAGGATTCAGTTATATGTGATCACTATCAAGTTGGTTGGGTTTTTTTTTTGTTCTTTCATTTAATGATCTTGTAAAATGTAATAAAATTAAAGTAATGATGCAAAGAGTTGACTGGTTGCCCAGAAAGTGATGTAAAATAGTATAATTAAGTGAACAAGGCTACAGTTATAAAGAAATTAGAAGAAAAATTGGTGGAAACTTAACCAAAGGTGGCATTTCTACTGCACACTTTTCCCAAAAAGTTTCCACAGTTTTGGCCAGTACTGTATCATTGTAATTTTTTTTTTGCCTGAACTTGTCAGCTGTGGGCAAAATATTGAAGTTAATGAATATTAGACTGTTGGATTAATTTCAGCATAGTATTGTCCACTCATGATTTTACTTTAAATATTATTTAACAATTTTTAACACACTGTTCCTTATCCTGATGATATGTTTACAGAGCTTTGAGATATATTGATAAAATGTAAAACAGAAAAAGATTTGGTTCATCATGATATGTATTTATCCTAATAACTGCCATTTTGTATACAATTACTTTTTGCAAAAATATATGTCCTTATTTTTTTTTTAAAAAAACAACCTTTCGATTGCTATCTCCAGGCCATTGCACTATATTTTCATCATGAGCAGTACAGTTTGCATCTCCTTGGCTGCCGTTTCATGTTTTATAGCCTTTACACTTACAGTAGTCCCTAGCCTTGCAAAGGCCACGAGATTTTGTGGAAACAATGAAATTGACTATATTGTGTGTGAATTTAAATCAATATTTAAACTCATTTGCACAGATACCTCTTTGAGCCAATAAGCATATACTTCAGTGGCATTCTGGGACTGCTTCTTCCCCTTGGTTTTATTCTTTTTTCCCACATGCGCATTCTTCAGGCCTAAGGATGTCATCAGAAGGAGGCAGAATGAAGACTTTTTCAACATGTGGTCCCCACCTGTCTGTAGTGACTATGTATTATGGTGTTTCCATATTTATCTATCTTCTTCCTCCAAACAAGAAGATGCATGAGATTGAAAAAAAACACTATCTGTCTTTAATAGTGTGCTAACCCCTGTGTTTAACCCCTTAGTTTATACCCTCCAAAATTAAGAGGTTCTGGGGGCACTAGGAAGAATTCTAATTAAGAACAAGCCTGGCACGCAATGTTGAACATTGATATACTTTAACTCTTTCATCTGTCTGTTTTGTTTTTTACTGTTAAATAGTGTTTTCTTAATATATCTGTTGTGCATTTACTATCAAGTCATATTATAAATCTGGCAAAAGTGTGTGAACCCAGTTTCCATTTCACTTTATTAACTGAAGCTGTGGCAGTGTGGTTATTGCTACTGGTTTCACAAGAATCCTTACCTGAGGCTGAATAAGCTGCTGAATAACACAGGACAAGAAGCAACGGAAGGAAGGACAAGAAGCAACGGGTGGAAACTAATCAAGGAGAGAAGCAATCTAGAACTAAGGAGAAACTTCCTGACAGTGAGAACAATTAACCAGTGGAACAACCTGCCTCCAGAAGCGGTGAATGCTCCAACACTGGAAGTTTTTAAGAAGAGACTGGACAGCAATTTGTCCGAAATGGTATAGGGTTTCCTGCCTGAGCAGGGGGTTGGACTAGATGACCTTCAAGGTCCCTTCCAACTTTATTATTATTATTATTATTATTATTATTATTATTATTATTATTATTATTATTATTATTATTATTATTAATCCTTGAGAATATTTTTTTCAGACTGAATTATCTATTCAGCTGCTGCTGGGACTCAGACATGGTATGGACAATGTTGTACAATTTTTATTAGTAACTCCAGGGCTTTTTTTCTCATAGAACACCCAGAATGGAGTTCCAGCACCTTTTTTGGATGGAACCTTGTAGGGTAGGCAAGGCGGGTTGTATGACATGTGTGAGTTCCGGCACCCTTTTTTTTTTTTTTTTTTTTAGAAAAAAAGCCCTGAGTAACTCAGAAAGAAATACATGATTTTTAGAGGACAGAGCGTAGTTAAACTTTTGGGCAGGTAACAGCTAAGAATATTCCATTTACACTTAAAAAAGAAAGAAAAAACAAAATCACATGTTGTTATTCATTGACTGGGGCATTTTTACAATTTAGAAATAAAAGGAAAATATTCAAACATACATACACATATACAGAATGGGATTTGCAGTTTCAATATGTGCTATAGCTATAGAAAACTATTCTATGATTATAAAGGGTCTGTTCTCTGCCAACAGGCTCATCATTTAATACAATATCTCTGCAGTGATATAGAGCCTCACTTAGTCATTTTAATTTATTAAGAATTTTTACATAGAATAAAGCACTAATTAAATTTTTAAGAGGAAGAAAGACAAAAGAGAAAAAAAGTTAAAGAAACAAAAACAGAAAAAAATATTTAGAAATATAAGAACCATTCCAATTTTCTTTTAAACACCTAACTACAATCTTATTACCCTTCCCCCCTCTTAGATGTTATAAAATTTCCTTTATCTCTTCATTTAATCCAGGCCTTACTGAATCTTCAGATTCAAAAATCATCATTTTGTTCCTTTATTCTTTCAATAAATATTCCATATGTTTCCCAGTCTCATAAATGTTTGTTGTTTTTTCTGACCAAAGAGTTTGCTATTTCTATGAAATCTAACATTTTCATAATCAATTAGTCCTCTGTGGAAATTGTATTGTTTTACTGTTCATAATCTTTTCTAATTTGTTGTCCATGCATCCTAATAAAAAGAGTTATAGTATCTTGTTTTAGATTTTACATCTCTTTTGTGAATGTTTTTATCAAGTGGAATCCATTCTATGACTACCTTACTCCACCTGCCATCAGTTCTTCTTGCTATGTCTTTATATATGTTTTACAATTTATAAAAACATATATAATTTATAATTTCTTGGTTGTCATATACCAATAATACTTCATTTTATTAAAAATATCTCTTAAATTATGACACAATGTAAATTTAATATTAGTTGCCCACATTCTCTCCCAAGTATCCATCTCTGTGTTACAGGTAATCCTCAGTTATTGACTATTTGTTCAGCAACATTCAATGTTATGACAGAGCAGAAAAAATAACTTTACAACCATTTATCTTTGTAGCTTCCCTTAGTCATGTGATCATCATTACAGCCAGTACTCATTATTCTGTGCTTGGTTTGTGCTTGTCCAATCTCTCTGTTCTGTAGGGGGGGTGTGGAGGAGCAAATATCTGACCCTTACCCTCTGCCTGCTCTCAATGTATAGAGCAAAGAGCTCTTGAAATTCTCTTCAATGTTGCTGCTTTGAGGGGGGAGGGTTAGAGAGAATGGTCAGGCAAAGAAGAGATTCTCTACAGAAAATTCTTTTTTCTTTCTTTCTCTTTATTTCCCCACTCCCACATTTAATAAAGTCAGCCAATCATCTTTATCAAACAATCTTAACAATTCTGTTTCCCATGGAGGTACATATTATTTAAGTCATAATTTCAACTGTTTTTAATTTTGTGGTTAATAAAACTCCAAATTTAACTATTGTTTTATCCCATTTTTAACTTTCTTAGACCAAACACAGGCAAGCTTTTTTCTCTAAATCTTCCTTATTTTATCTCTCTCTGTCTCTTAACTTTTAATTGTTTTCATGGAATGATGATCCATCCAAATGGTATTATGTTCTCTTGTCCATTTAAAATCTATATTAGCTGTAAATTCTTTTCACTCTTCCGCCAAATTGCTTTAATGTAGACTCAATTAGCAAAGTGTTATTCAATGGCATCATCTAAGATTTTGTGCTTGGGGTTGTCCTGGCACTCTACTCAACATTGGCTGATAGTTTGCCCTTGGACCTTGCTCATTTTCTCTGAAGAAATAACTCTCTGGACCACAGACAGGCAATTTCTTGCCTTCCTCTTTGTCCAGGAATGCTCCATTCAATAAGGCATAAAGACTGGCTACCAGCAAGTTCATCGTTGCCTTCTCTGCCATTCGAAATAGGTGTGTTAGCCTGACAATGTTCTACCTGGAAGCTTCTCACATGCACATTTATCTCCATGGGTATATCTCTATGGGCACACACATTGTATGTCATTTTTCGTCATTTTTTAAACAAGTATATCACCAATGAAAATTGTATGTAATATATGTTTTCAGCTGTTGAAAAATAAGAATGATATCTTCATTATGTTAATCAGAAATATATATATATATATATATATATATATATATATATATATATATATATATATATATATATATATATATAATAAAACCGTGCTTGGTCTATGATAATATGTTGCCCCATGTAATCACAAAATCTATTTTCCATTTTCAAGTATTTTCTATGAACTCATGTAAAATATTTTTCTCAATTTCATATGTATACATTCAGTGCAACTCACTATTTCAAAGTTTTAGAGGTGGCATAACTTTAATAGCTAATGAGGCATTGGGGAATATGCCTAAAGAGAACAAAGTATATTTTTGTATATACAAACATACAGTGTGATTTTGACTGATTATAAAACAAATATATTTAAAATGAAAGAAGAGTTGTTTGCTATTGATTTATGAACAGAATCTGATCCTTCCTTAATAGTCATTAAAAGAATTTTCAATGTTAAATTTTCTAACAAAACATAAAGTGATCCTTCAAGATCCAGTTACTAAGAGGTATTTAAAACATGTTGTGTTCACTTAGATAAACACTTATTTTGGCATAATTAAAATATGTTTCTTATTGAAAAAATAGATATATGTTTTAATGTTTATTATTAAAGAAGAAAACTTGATAGAACATAGAATCCAGTATCAGCTATCTACATTCAAAGAAATTAATGTGTTTCTTTTTGTTATAAATTCCATCACATTATTTGCAGTCAATACCAATACCAATTTTTTCTTATAATTTACAATAATTTACGTCATATAGAGCATACTTAGAATATTGCTAACTCCACAATCATAAAATTATAATGCTAACATTCTTAAATTGTTATAATATCTTATAGAAGAAAGTGACATTAGAATAAACTGACTTTTTAAAGTTATTCAATACATGACCAGGTTTAATTAGCAATGCATATTTCTTTCATAAAAACTGGCTTAATTTACAAAAGAAACAAAGAAATAATGAAATGAATTGCATATAGAATATTTATTTGAATATAAAAGAAAGCAAAATATCACTTTCTGAAATTTTGAATAGGACTTTATTGCTAGGAAACTACGTCTTACAACATTTTTCTTTAAGTGTCTCAAAGGGAATCTTAAAGATTTATAAAAGTTTGTTCTTTCAATATTTCCCTATTAATTTCTTCAAAATTAAAGATTTCTTGTTTCTGAATAAAGATTTAGTGGAGATTCTAAAAGGAAATTAATCCCATGTCAAATTTAATAACTTATGACAACCTTCTAGGTAGCTGGTATAGAAAATGAATATTAATTTTAGTTTCCTTTTCTATAAAATAGAATATTCTGATGACACTTAGTTGGAAATTGACAATATTCCTTGATTGTTTCTTTATCATTTATTGGAAAAAATAATTCACATACATAGGCAAAGATCACTTTAGACATTAAACATTCAAAGGTTGATTATATCAAATAGAAGACTTCCATGCATTTTGCAAATGCAAAAGATATATTTATGTTTTTTTTCTTCTTCTCCTATCCAGATCAACCCTAATGCAGGAAGTAGGAGAAAATGACACTGCGGTGACTGAATTTATTCTTATAGGTTGGTCCAGTAGACCCAGGTCAAGGATGATTTTAATACCAGTTTATATTGTTTCCTATTTTTTAGCAATTGCTGGAAATGGCCTCATTGTCTTAGTAGTCATATGTGATCCACAGCTCCACAATCCCATGTACTTTTTCCTATGTAACCTTTCTTTTATTGACCTTGGATTCACAACATCTACAATCCCACAGTCAATTGCCAATTGCTTAGTGGAAAGGCCTGTGATGTCTTCTGCTAGATGCTTTACCCAAATGTATGCTAGTCTCTTATTTGGGACAACAGAATGCTTCTTCCTGGCTGTCATGGCTTATGACCGTCTTATTGCCATCTCCAGGCCATTGCACTATACTTTCATTATGAGCAGGACAGTTTGCATTTTCTTGGCTTCTGTTTCATGGTTTATAGCTTTTACACTTACAGTAGTCCCTTGCCTTGCAAAGCCAGCGAGATTTTGTGGAAACAATGAAATTGACCATATAGGTTGTGAATTTAAATCAATGTTTAACCTCATTTGCACAGATACCTCTTTGAGCCAAATAAGCATATACTTCAGCAGCATTCTGGCACTCCTGCTTCCCTTTGGTTTTATACTTTTTTCCTACATGCGCATTCTTCAGGCAATCCTAAGGATGTCCTCAGAAGGAGGCAGAATGAAGGCTTTTTCAACATGTGGTTCCCACCTGTCTGTAGTGACTATGTATTATGGTGTTTCCATATTTATCTATCTTCTTCCTCCAAACAAGAAGATGCATGAGATTGAAAAAGCACTATCTGTATTTAATAGTGTGCTAACCCCTGTCTTCAACCCTTTAGTTTATACCCTCCGAAATCAAGAGGTTCTGGGGGCACTAGGAAGAATAATAGTGAAGAACAAGCTTGGCATGCAACATTGAACATCAGTATAACTCTTTTAGCCTGTTGGTTTTCTTTGTAATTTTGAACAGTCATTCCCTGACATATCTGTTGTTCATTTTCTGTTGAAACCGTGAAATCTTTTCACTTCACTAACTGAAGCTGCTTGTGATTATTGTTTTTGCTTTCCTAGGCATCTTCACCAAATGCTGCAAGCTGGTGAATAGCATAATGAACTTATAACACTTTGTGAATAATCCTTAAGAATATAAAATACTTTGAATAACTTGAATTGAATACATGTTCAGGTACTGTGCTTCAGAGAAAGAAATCATTATTACTTTGTACAGACAATATTGTACAATTTTTATTAGTAATTAAAAATATGATTGTTTACACAGCAAAGTATAGATTTTCAGCATAAAGCAGTAGCTAAGAATTCACCCTTTATATTTAAAAGAAGATAGAGAATAGCACAATCACATGCCAATATTCTTTGATTGAAGCATCTTTAAAATTTAGAAACAAAAGCAATATACACACAAAGACAAACACACACAAACTTACATATAAACACACTGGGGAGAGAGGTAGAAAAAGATGAGACAGACAGGATTTCAATATAATTTCCAGGAGAAATGCAATGTTAATGTGCATTATAGTCATAGAAAGCCAAGGCAAACAACCTTGGTTTAGGAATCATCTACAGCATACAATGGAATTACTACAATAGCCACTATGTAGTACAAACAGGAAGAAGATTAGTAGAAGGCATTCATGAACATCAACAAGCAGTCAGAAGACATGATGAAAACTCTTTAATTTCACAACTCATGGACAGACCTAACCACAGTTCCAACTGAGAAAGTGTGACCTTCCTAGACCAAGCCAAGTCCAAAAATGCTACAGAATTTCTACAACCCTGGCATTCTGACAAATTAAACATCAATAGAAAGGTATAAACATTATGTACATACTGTGCAAAAGAGGTAATCAACAAGCCAAAAAAGGAACAAAAAGACCAAAACAGAGAGATTCTTAATTCATAGATATATTTTTCTTTTCTTTCTTTCTTTCTTTCTTTCTTTCTTTCTTTCTTTCTTTCTTTCTTTCTTTCTTTCTTTCTTTCTTTTCTTTCTTTCTTTCCTTCCTTCCTTCCTTCTTTCTTTCTTTCTTTCTTTCTTTCTTTTAAAATCTAGCACAAATTAATACACAAAGTAGAGAACAGACATAAAAATGAAAACAAAAACAAAAGTGCAAAAAGAAGGAAAAAAAGAAAATTAAAACAATTCCAATTTCCTTTCTAGCAAATATCACTATGATTAAAAAGTTATCTTATTCTCTATTATTATATGTTTCTTTCTGTAATCAACAAGCCAAAAAGAGAACAAAAAGACCAAAACATGCAGATGAACATAGAATAACTCCAAGATTAAGATCAGACTATCAATCAAGAATCAAACAATACCTCAATCAAGAAATTGCCATGCAAGCTAATCATAACACCCAGTGGGGCAGTGGAACCTCCAAGACCATGCCCATTAACACTGACAGGGCAAGATACTAGAACAGGCATGTCAAACTCACGACGTCATGTGACATTGCGCAATGTATCGAGATTTTTTCCCCATTGCCGGCAATGGGGTGGGTGTGGTTTCGGTGTGACGCATCTGGCCCGTGGGCCAGCAGTTTGACATACCTGCACTAGAAGATAAACTGGGAGCAAACTGCACTCCCTAGTAGTATTGATGATATTATCTAGTTTGGATAATGAAAAGTTCAGAGAGCACCAAGGACCCTTCAAGCTCAGTTTAGATATATATAAATGACATGATTGTTAAGTGAATCAGGCTTTCCCTTTTACTTTGCTTGTCAGAAGGTCACAAAAGGTGATCACATAACACTGGGACACTTCAACCATCATAAATATGAGACAGTTGCTAAGCTTCTGAATTTTGATCATGTGAACCATGGGGATGTAAGTGTAAGTGTGAAAAAAGGTCATAAGTCATTTTTCCAGTGCCACTGTAACTTTGTACAGTCACTAAATGAACTGTTGTAAGTCAAGGACTACCTGTAATGTATTGCCCCAAGTACTAACTGAATCTGTTTTCTTTTCCAAGTATTTTCTATGAACTCTCATAAAATAATTGTTCCCTACAATCATGTGTATACATTCGCTATTTTCAAAGTTTTAGAGATGGCATAACTTTATCAGATAATGAGGCACTGGGGGATATGACCAAAGAGAAAAAGTATGTGAGTACATTTTTGTATATACATAAATGTAGTATGATTTTGACTGAATTTTAAAACAAGCATATTTAAAATGAAAGGAAGATTGCTTGCTATTGATTTATGAACAGATTATGATTCTTCCTTAATTCTCTTTAAACAGATTTAATTTTTTATTTAATTTTTCCAGCAGAACCTAATGTGTTCCTCCAAGATCCAGTTACTAAGAGGTATTTAAAATATTGCATTCACTTAAACAAAAA